CTGTTGTAGCCGCAGCGCCTGTGATGGGGCTGTCCCACAAGTTGTTTCTCTCCTGCAGTGGGTCACAGTGTATTGTTTCTTGCACTGTTCTGTGCATTTCCTTTTCTTTCTCTCATGTGTTATCTCATCCTCTTCTTGAAGCCACATGATGTATTTCAACTCATATTCTTTTCTCCTCAATGCAATGTTCCTCTTCACTCCTTTCCCTCTCTTCTTTTTCCACCTCTTCCTCAATCCTTTTATCAGAGGTGTGGTAAGGCTTTTCTAAAGTCTGAACTCTGTTTTGCTTCTGAAGGAACCATTTTGTATAAAGAATAGTCTATAAATATGCAATATACTACATTGAATCTGTAGGCAAGAATGATTTTTTTTTTTGGTTGTTCAGATGTGTGTATTTCACCAAGTTTAAGTTATTTCTGAATATGCAAATCTGATTCAAGTTAGGAAGGAGACAACTGAATTTCACTGTTAACCAGGTGATAAAATTTTGGGCCAGTACAGAACTCTCTTGCCTCCTCTGAGAAGTGGTTTTGTGCATTTTGTTAGTCTGTTCGAATCAAAGTATAGCAGGTTGTCTTGAACCAATGTATCTTGAAGTTCTTAAGTAACAGTAACGGATCAGCTTGGTATGCTCAAAAATATGTGTGAGACTGCTTTCCTGAACCTAGTGTTTCTTCTCACTTTTATCCCTAAGCCTTGGGGTTTTTGGTGAGTGTTGTGAATCTGTGATATCAGTCATGCTCATTAGGAGCTTGCAGATTTAACCAGAGAGATTAAGTTCAAGAACACCAGCTTGTCTGTTGCCATGTCTTGACTGATTTTCAGCTCTGAGGACACTCAGAGCACTCGGTGGTTGTACTCAGTGATACTCGGTGAGAGTTTTTTCCAGCGCTCAACCTAGGTGCTCCTTCCTGGCTCTTGAAGATAAATGTGGTTTAAGTTTGGTGTAGTCAGGGCGAGGCTCTTGCTCCTGTCCCCAGCTTTCTGCTGGAGTCTAAACGCCATTTACCTTACCAGTCTAGCCCTGCAGCTTGTTTCCAGCTAGCTAAATGTAGGATACTAAGAGCAGAGCATCAGGAAAGTCTGTAGTCTTGTGCTGTGGTAATAATAACAATTAAAAACCAAAGTGGTATGAACAAAAGGAACAGGAGACAGGCTGGTGGTGGAGGGAAGGTGCAAGTCCCTTTAATCTCTAATATAAGTGTCTGTAGATAGAGCTACATAAAGGAGCAGACGGGTGCCTGCAGATGCAGGAAGGTGTGAGCCCTACACATGGGATTGCTGGCTGGAAGTTCAGGTTGACCTGTTCCTCTACACATGCTGCATAGCAAGGTGGGAGTTGGCTTCAGTTCTTCTAGAAGACCCCCCCATTTTTGGTTGAAATTGTTACTCTAAATGAGCAATTGGAAATATATACTCGGGTCTAGTCAGCAGATGCTGCAAATTAGCAGTTCGGCTTTGGCTCAGGGAGAGACCTGACTTCAGTTTTAGGCATTGCTTGGATCTAGTTATGGCATTAAGTTGAACTTTTTTTTTAATAGACCTAGTACATTATCTCTTTTAGAGCTGGGAAATGGTACTTATAGGAACTCCAAGTGTTGGGGTTATTGGCCTTGGAGCTGAAGTTTAGTTCTCTGAAACTTGAAACAGTGCTCACATTATTGAGAAAGCCAGGAATTTCTTGTATGGCGGCTCTTAATGTAGTTACTCTGTTTTCAATATTTATTGATTCTACATATGATCTGTTGAAAAACTAAGAAAATTGCAGAAGCGAACCCAATTCAGAAGGAATCACAGCTTACAGTGCAATTTTAATGGCAAGCAGTCGGATGGTAGGCTACTAACCACCCAGTAGTTTTCAGTAAACACTGAGATTACTTGCAGTAGTAACTTACTTCCTTCTCTCAATGGACGGAAAAGTGTTGCACACATCATAGCCCTCCTTCATAACCTCTGGCTCTAAAACCAGACCTGTCGTGTCTCACTTGTGCCCATTAACCGAGCCGTTTGCTTACATAGCCATGATGGTAGTTTATGATTTTTCAAGTATACGGGATAGCTTCAGATGTGATGGGTTGAAGTACGTAGGAGATTCTTTGTGAAAATACGTGGTACTTGCTATTAGGGCCTCCCCGCACCCAAGTCCTCATTCCATATGGCTGTTAAAATCAGGATAAATGTGTCCTACAATCAAGAGTGTAGCTAGGAGAGAAAAAATGCTGTTAAAGTTGCAGTGTTGCAGCGAGCTTCCCACCACCCCAAACTTAACCGTTTTTCATTAATATTTACTTCTGAAATCTTTTTTTTTAATATCACAAGAATATTTTCAGTCTCTACCTCCAGCCACAGAACTGCTTTCAGGAGGTGAGAAATCTTGTCAGATACTAGAGGGTCTTTGTTTATTTGGGAATGCAATGACAGTTCTTAAACTGACTTAATTTAAAGCAAATGGAATTAAGTTGGTAATGAAGAACCAATCTCCTTATTTATCTCTCATCATACTCTGAAGCAGTCCCAAGTACTACAGCAGCCTTCTGCTATTTGTTTAGAGCTGTAAGAGATGCAGGAAATGGGAGGGGAATATGCTTACGTTTTTGACTAGCAACTGCCTCGTTACTTGAGAGCTGTCTATGTTTTTTGTTTATTAGTAGTATTGTTTGTGTGTAGTATCACTCAAACATCTGCTTGAGTTGGCTCCAATTAGAAATATAATGTGAGGAAACTGATGGGGTACAAAGAAACAAGATGGCGTTGGTCAATGTAAGTGATTTTGGTGCATAAGTATAGAGTACCTAATGGCAAGATTCTCTGTGTGTTATGATAAAGCAGTGTTGGATAGAAAGTTTTTCTAAATGTAGGAAAAAGTGTGAAGGTGCTTCCTTGAAAGCCTAACTTGTGAGTGATGAGGCCTGCTCAGTTGACAGGTTGAAGTCAGCATCTTGATTTAGCTGGTGACACCGCAGGGTTAGAATGTAACTTTTTTGGAAAGCATTTCCATAATGCAGAGATATAAATGTCTGAAATGTGTATAAGTATATATAAAGAGCTTTTAGATGGTAGAGGTAGGTAAGAGCTCTGACCTTGAGCTAACTGCTAAAAGTCTGAGAGGTT